ATAAGCATGGCATGGATGAATTAGGTTTCCTCGTCTGTAATCTGGGCACAGGGACAGATCCCACTTTATGGGGTGGTGGTGATCATTAGAGGAAGAATTGAAATGTCTTGTAACATTTGCTGTCCCCTCCCCCAACCCCACAGAACCCCTCAAGATGACCACTTTGGAACTTCCTACCAGCAATGGCTTAGCTCAGTGGAGGTGAGGGGGGCTTTCAGGAAAGACCATACCCACGGTCCACCTCAGGGTGCCAGGACCTAAATGTTCATCCTTGCCCAGTCCTCTTGTGGTCCCAGCTCACAGCCCTGCCCTGACTTCACCCCTCCCCACACCAGACACTGCTGACAAACCACCCTCCCAGCCACGTCTTGGCTGCCTTGGAACACCTGGCTACAGAACGGGAAGCAGAGATTCGGTCCCTGTGCAGTCAGGACAGACTCCAAGATACGAAGATGGCCAGGTGTGTAGTAGAGTACTTCCATAGTCAGGCAGGGCAGGTGGCTGCGTGAGCTGGGACAGGGCCAAGACCAGGCACAGTGGTCTGCTGATAGGAGCAGAACTGAAATCCAGGGACCAAACCCAGGTGGGGTGGACACTGGCTACCCTCAAGAGGCCAAGCAAGGAGACGGGGCTCCTCCCTCACCAGTTTCACCCCATCACCAGGTCCCAGGTACCAGATCAGTCAGACTCCAACCAGGCCCTGCCGTCCGTGATGCATCTCATCCAGGTGACCCCCAGGCACCCTTGCAGACTCTTTTCTCTTTCCCATCCCAAAGCCCACTCAATCCCCTCACCACCAGGGATGATGCCCTCCCTGATTTTGTCCCCCTGCCCCAGGAAGGCTGGCAAACTGTGAGTGTGCTGGTCACCCAGCGGGGCCCCCTCCTGAAGGAGCATCACATCCTGACCCAGCGCCTGCGGAGCCTGTTGGAGGAGGTGGAGAGGTGTGCCCTGGGAGCCAATGAGAGGTGAGGGAGCTCCCAGGGCAGGGGCCGCTAGGCTATCTCTCTCCCTGGGGTCTCAGAATATTGGACTTTTTCTGCCCCTGTGGCTCTTGTCCCTGCCTCCCTGCTCTCCTTGCGTTTGTGGCTCCTTGGGCATCCCCTCCTCTGTGAATCTTAGTCACCTTCCTCTCCATTGTTCTCTTCTGCTTGTTCTCCAGGCAGGCATTGGTGCTGGGACTCCGGGGTTATGGCCTGTGGGCAGAGCTCAAGGCCCTGTGTGCCCATAGCCAGGAGCTGGAGGAGGCAGTTGGACGGCAACAGCTTCTGCTGCAGGAGCTACAGGCCAAACAGCAACGGATCCTGCACTGGCGCCAGCTGGTGGTGAGAAGCAGGATTCCGGGGAAAATGGCAGGGCCTGGTGGAGGGTCAGAGGCTGGGAGCCTTATGATCCAGAACTGGGCCTCCTGGTGGGGGAAGAGGCCCAGGATGAGTCTTCCAAGAGGAAGCAGGACCTGTGGAAGGGGGAGGGCAGGGCTGGAGGCTGGGAGTTGGGAAGGAAAAGCAGCCCGTCTTGGTGGCCTCCTGGTTGTCCAGGGGGAGACACAGGAACAGGTCCGATTACTCATCAAGAGCAACTCAGCCAGCAAGACGCACCTGTGTCGGAGCCCTGGGGAGGTGAGTTGGGATTTGGAATGAGGTCTGGGCAGGGCCAGGTCTCCTAGGGGATGGGGCTGGGTGATCTCAGGTTTCCCCGCCCATCCCTTTCCTTCCCCACAGGTGCTTGCTCTGATTCAGCGAAAGGTGGTCCCCACATCTGAGGCAGTGGCACCACAGAGCCAGGAACTGCTTCGCTGTCTGGAGGAGGCGGCCCAAAATCTGCCCCACCTTCTGCTGGGCACCCTGCTGCGGCACAGCCCTGGAGGGTGAGACGAGGGCCATCCTCTGTATCCCCTCCCTTGGCTGACTGTCCCACTCCAAAAAAATAATCCGCCTACTCCAAAAAAAAATTCCAGACCCCAGTGTTCCCAGGCTACCAGACCTCGCTCTGGTCCTCAGCCCCACTCTGGAATTCTAGTCCCAAGACCCACATCCAAGTTCCTGGACCTCCCAAAATTATCCCTCAGCCCCCAGAGCCTCTGCAACCCAAGCCTTCCTCTCAGTGCCCCACCTAAACTGGACTTTCCCCCCAGGTTGCAGCCCCTGCCTACAGTCTTGCCGTCCATCCACCAGCTACATCCTGCGTCCTCAAGGGGCTCCAGCCTTATAGTGCTTAGCCACATTCTGGGGCTACCCACAGGGAAGGTGAGTGCTCTATGCCCTAGGACAGTGATGGCGAACCTATGACACGCATGTCAGAGGTGACACACGAACTCATTTTTGGGGGAATTTTTCTTTGTTAAATGGCATTTAAATATATAAAATAAATATCAAAAATATAAGTCTTTGTTTTACTATGGTTGCAGATATCAAAAAATTTCTATATGTGACACGGCACCAGAGTTAAGTTAGGGTTTTTCAAAATGCTGACACGCCGAACTCAAAAGGTTCGCCATCACTGCCCTAGGACCTATCTTTCCATCCCTACCCCCACCCGAGATAATTGTCCTTTCCCCCTTCCTCTAGGCTCCAGAGCTGCTCCTCCCAAAGGCTGCCTCGCTTCGCCAGGACCTTCTGTTCTTCCAGGACCAATGTAGTCTCCGGTGCTGGGATCTGCTCCATATGAAGAACAGCCTACCGCCAGGACCATCCACCCAGGGTAGGCCTGCCCCGCTTCTATATCTAGCATCCTTGCCCATTCCCAGGACCATCAACCTCTAGAACCAATCACAAACAACCCATTGCTGACACAGAGCCTTCTGAGCTGAGTGCTTTAAGCATGTTCACTAGTTTCATCTGCACAGCAGCCCCAGGGAGTTAGTGCTGCCATGCTCCCTTTTACAGAGGAGGGACTTGTATGCAGAGGCCTGCGTAGATGCCCAGACGGCAGAGCTAAGATTTAACTCAGGCGTTCGGACTTCCGATGGGTCTGTGCTCCTAACCACTAGGTGACTGCCTATCTAATTGCCAAGTAAAGCTGGGATGTAGAGTTAAACTATCTGGATTCTCTTCTCAGGACTACCTCTTGTTGTGTAATCTCCCTATGCCTCAGTTTCCTCCTCAGTGGAGTAAGCCTATCTTACAGAGTTGCTGGGAAGACATAGTCAGGTATGAGATTACAGTCATTTTGTCTGCTCATGCGCAGTCTCTTCAGTGCTTACCATGAGGGACAGAAAGTGTTTAAGATTCCGTTTACAAATGAGGAAATGGAAATTTCTAAGAAAAGTTGTTCTGGATTCACTCAGCAGGCACTCAGTGGGTACCTACCAGGTGCTGGCCCCAAGAGCTCAATGGGGAGAGAGGCAAGAGTAGTCCAGCCCCAGGGGTGTCCTGGTGGTAGAATCAAAGAGCAAAGAATCAAAGGGTGAATAGATAGAAGAGGTGAATTGATGAGAAATGAATCAGGGTACCATCAACAAAGTAGGAAGAAACTGTTTTCAAGCCTTTGAGTTTCAGGCTCTCTGCCTTCCCCTCTCCAAGGGGCACGGAGCGGTGTGCAAGAGCAGCCCCAGAGCCAGCACAGCTGCATCCCACCTCATGGCCATTGTGAACTTTAACATGTCTAAATGGTCTTAGTTCCCTCTGCTCCAAAAGCAGTTTTATTTTTCTTCAGCCTGATTTTCTTCCCTCAATAAATGATCCTACCCTCCTCATCCAGATGCCTAAGCCAGAACCCAGGAGTCATCCTTAATTCCTCCCAAGCCCCTAACCCCACCCACCCACCTTCAACCTGTCAGCAAGCTCTGGGTCCCATCTCCAGAATGCTCCAATCTGCCCCAACCCCATTAGCCTGTGGCTCAGATAATGACAACTGACCATAGAATGGCTAAAGAAAGCGTAAGGGTCATGCCCAGTGTCACAAGGCAAGATTGGAGTCAGGATTCAGGCCCAAAGAGTCCGATCACACTGCAGGTCTGATATGAGCCTGTTTTGGAGCTGTGGAGGGAGAGTAGACCTAATCACAGTCCCAGGGAAAACACTGGTAGAGAGAAGGGCTGCAGCAGTCTGAGGGGGAAACCTTAGGATGAGGAATGCTGGCAAGGACTACCAGGAGGAAAAATAGTGTCTCAAGTGGTCCCTGGGAGGTAGGTGAGGTTTTGCTCAGGAATAGTGAGCCGCAGCAGCCATATAATGCAAGCCCTCAAGTACTATGCTGAGGAGCTTGGACTCTGGCTTGGGGGCACTGGGAAGCCTTGGAGGGTTCCAAGCAAGAATGAGAACGGATCAGGTTTAGGCTTCAGGAAGATCACTGAGGCCTGGAGCCTAAGAGGGAGGCTGGGGATGGGGCATGAGTAGGAAAGGGGGAGGAAGCTGAAGAGTAGGTCATGGAGATTGATGGTCTGTCCGGGCGGGAGGCATCCGGGATGAAGTGGGGGAGGAGGAGATAGTGGGCTTGCCCCTGAGATGAAGACTTGGGAGGAGGGAGAGGTTTGGGAGAGACTAGGTGACTAGGTGACTGGAGATTTACTTGGTGTCCCATTGACTGCAAGGCACCAGGGAACTAGAGGACTCAATGCTACCTCCTGGGCTTCTAACCTGCAGAGTTGCTGCAGATCCATGCATCCCAGGAAAAGGAGCAGAAAGAGAATCTGGGGCAGGCTCTGAAGCAGCTGGAGAACCTGCTGGAACAAGCCCTGGAGCGAATCCCCAAGCTGCAGGGGATTGTGGGGGACTGGTGAGAGGGGATTGTGGAGGACTGGTGATGGGGGGTAGGGCTGAGCTGGGTGGAACATGCCAACTCAGGGCTGGGGGAAAAGACGGGGAGGGCAAGGAGGAGGAGACTGGTGACAAGCAGGCCATGATGTGGGGAAGCCAGTGAGGGTCTGAAGGCTCAGGCCTTCCTCTGACACCGTTCTCTTCCCCAGGTGGGATCAGCCAGGCCAAGTCACCCTCTCGGGGGAGCTCTGCCAAGGCCTGTCCCTGCCCCAGTGGCGGTTACGCTGGGCCCAGGCCCAAGGCATCCTGCAGCAGCTGTGCAGATGAAGAGGACACAAACAGGAGTCAAGAGCCTCATGTTTGTTCACCCCAACATCTCACCTTCCTCAGTATTAAAGAAAGCATCACCTGGGTGTGTCGCCCATTGTCTCCACCCACACCTGCCCTTCCCCTCATAGGCTGTTCTGCTGCATCCCACCAAAGCCAAGAGAATGGGGTGCTCTAGACCCCACCCCAGGTCCCACTGAAACTCTTCTCTTCACCTTCAGCAAAGCATAACTGAGCACCTGCTCTAAACACTAAAAGTCCCTGCTTTCAGGAAATTGACATTCTAGGATAAGGAAGCTGACCACTGACAAGATAAGCCAAATATCTAGTATGTTGGAAGATAATGGCCATGGAGAAAAATAAAACAGGCTGTAGGAGGTGAAATTTTAAAGAGGGCTACACAGCAAAGGTCACCCTCAGTAAATGTGAGAGGCATGCAAAGGCCCTGAGTCCAAATGTGCTAGCATGACAGCCAAAGAGAAAGTGCAGTTTAGGGTGGGGTAGGGGGATTTAAGAAATGAAATTGCCTTCTAGTTTTTATATAGTTTCTTTTTTTACATTGAAGTCTCTGAGCCATTTGGAATTTATGCAAATGGATCCATTTTTGTCTTACTTTATATATATTCCAATAGTACTTATTAAAATAGGCCCTGGCCCGTGTGGTCAGTGGTTAGAGTGTTGGCCCGTGCACTGAAGGACTGTGTGTTTGATTCTCCAGACAAGGGTACATACCTGGGTTGCAGGGGGGTTTTTATTGGGGGGGGGGGGGTAACTTAGCCTGGGCTATATTTTTTCATGTAGAGTTGCTTCCATCAGCTCTAAAGCATCAGGCCCCTGGGATGTGAGCACCTTGGACCCAACATTAAGCCCTGAGTCAGGAATTACAACAACTTGAGGAGTCCAGGGCAGAAAGGGAGGGCTTGAGGTCATGCTTCTGGCCTCACAGCTGAATGGCACTAAGGAAGTCCTGATGATCTGAGTCCTGGAGAAAGCAGAGTAAGGTGGGAGGTCTGGGGGACGGGGGGAAGGAATGGGTGAGAGGATCTGGGTCCCAAGGGCCAGTTAGGTACACTCAACTCCTTGCCCTTGTGCATGAGGTAGAGATGGAAGTGGAAAATGCTGCCATAAGTTGCATGCCTCAGGGACCAGCCATAACAGACCTGGGCATAGAGCAATGATGGCAAACCTTTTGAGCTCAGCGTGTCAGCATTTTGAAAAACCCTAACTTAACTCTGGTGCCGTGTCACATACAGAAATTTTTTGATATTTGCAACCATAGTAAAACAAAGACATATTTTTGATATTTATTTTATATATTTAAATGCCATTTAACAAAGAAAAATCAACCAAAAAAATGAGTTCGCGTGTCACCTCTGACACATGTGTCATAGGTTTGCCATCACTGGCATAGAGTCTAGTCTGAAAGTGGGGGGCAGCAGAGGTCAGTGAGATGAACTAGCCCCCAGGGACCAGCACTTGGTCGACAGTGTGGACCCTTCCAGAGGACACGATCCAGGGATCCCATTCTCCAACCAACAGGGCATCCAGCTTGCCCTTCCCAAGCACCATATCGAAGGAACCATTGGGAAAGCCCACTGCCCGCACATCCGAGGTCTGCCAGCACAGCTTGGGCACATGGGCATCACGAGCCAGCATGGCAGCCACCACTACTAATGAGTAGTCGACACTGGTCCCAAGGTATATATAGCTTGTAACTCAGGACACTGTTCCTGCAGCTTAACATGAGGATATGGTCCTCGGGCCATGGCTCTAGGAGGGCACGGAAAGAATCCCCAAACCACTTGTAGGGGGCAGAGTAGGCTGTGTCCTGGTAGCGCTGGCCCAAGTACTGGACCGCAGTTCTGGTAACCCTGGGGGGGCCCATGGGGGCATGTGCTGGAGACAACCAATCAACATGTTTCTCATCTCCCCGCTCCTCCCTTCAGGTTTTCCACTCTAAAAATCAATGGAAAAAATATCCTCTGGTGAGGATTAACCAGAAAAAATTCAGCACGGATCAACAAAGAAAGAGAAGGAAGCCTTCTAGAGTTAGAAATGTATTACAATGAACCCTTGAACAATGCTGGGATTAGTGGTGCCAACCCCACATATAACTTACTTTGGATTCCCCAAAAACTAATAGCCTGCTCTTGACTAGAAGCCTTAGAGTCAATTAGTATTTTGTATGTTTTATGTATTATATACTATATTCTAACAGAGTATGCCAGAAAAAAGAAAATGGTAAGGAAAATACATTTATTGAAACAAATCCCCACAGTTCAAACCTGTATTGTATAAGGATCAGTTGTATATGATGAGAGTGGTAGGGTTACATAGGTGTATAAATTTGTCAGAACTCATCAAGCTGTACATTTTTAGGTCTCTGCATTTCACTGTGAATTGAATTTATAAAGTAAAATTACCCACCTAAACTTTATAAAGTAAAACTTTAGGTGACTTGTTATGCCACCTTTTCATACACTAAATGTCCATGAGTGATTGGGCTGTATCTGGGTTCTCTCCAACCCCATTGTCTGACGTGTACGCCATTCTATGGTGTTTATTTATACAAGCCTTGTAAATACCTTTTAGTATCTGGAATGGCTAGTTGTCATCATCTTTTTCAAGGTTTTCCTGTCTCTTGCTAATTTTTTCTCCCAATAAAATGAACTTTAGACCCAACTTGCTTGGCTCCAGAAGAAATACAAACACAAATGGGAGGTTTATTGGGGTTGCAGGAAGTTTATAAATTAGGCAGATTTGACATCTTTGTGAACTTGAACCTGGCTTCCCACCTCCCTTCTCACAATTCCTCTCTTGGCCTCCAGAGTACCCTCACTCTCAATTCTATCTCTGGCTACTCTTCCCCAATCTTTATACATTTGCTTTCCTATGTGCCCCCTCCTCCCTTTATCGCAGCTCCCAAACCCCACCTTCCTACTGATCCTGGGATCCTTCCCCACTCTCTGCTTAATTTTTCACCACATCTTATCTTCTAACTGTTTTACTTTAGCTTTCATTGGGCAAACTTTCTGAAATGATTCCAAATCCAGATGCAGTAAAGGAAAATATTGACCAAAACAAATTTTTGCATGGCAAAATAAAAAATGACCGAAGTAAAAGAAATGACAAACTAGGAACAAATTTTGCAATTTATGCCCTAGAGGGGTGTATGTACACACGTGAATGTAATATTAAAGCTGGAAAGAAAAAATCCAATCCACGGGAAAATGGGCAAAAATATATGAATGTACTATTTCAGAAAATATGCTCAAACTCAATCATAAAAGCAAATTGAAGCCACATTTTGATACATTTCCGATCTATCAGACTGGAAAAAAGGCAAACCAAAATTTTGGCATTTCACTCTGTTCACAAGACTATGGGAAAACAGCACTCCAATACATCCGCGGATATACAACATGGAACATCACCTATGAGGAAATCTGCAGCAAAACTACATATGCGTTTATCCTTTTGCCCAAACAATCCCACTGTTAGGAACCTATCCTGGGTGAAATACAAGTTGTAGGACCTTGTACAAAACAACTAGACAGTATTCTTCAGAAGGTCAATGGGGATAGGGTGGGGACTGGTTCAGCCTATCCCCATTGACAGCCAAATGCAATGTGGGATCTTGATTGAATCATGCATTTTTAAAAACGCTGTGAGCCCTAGCTGGTTTGGCTCAGTGGATAGAGCGTCGGCCTGCGGACTGAAGGGTCCTGGGTTCGAATATGGTCAAGAGCATGTACCTCAGTTGTAGGCTCGATCCCTGGCACCAGGGCCTCATGCCGGGAGGAACCAATTGATGTTTCTCTGTCTCTTCCCCTCCCTTCCACTGTCTCTAAAAACAATGGAAAAGAGATTTCAGGTGAGGATTTAAAAAACAACAACAAACTTTTTGAAG